AGCCGGTTTATTTTTTAAAAATAAATTATTCTTTGCATGTTCTTTTGTATTTCCCTAGTTATCAGTATGCTGTTACCATAGTTTTGTTTAGATTTTCTGATTTTTTGACCGATGCTCGATTTTAGCTACTAGACCGAATAGCTCCACCTTCAAACTCAATGGTGTAAATCCATGCTGCCGCTTTTCCACAGTTGCCGCTTGCGACATCTCTTGTATTCGCTCATTTTACGAGAATTTTCTGTTGACATTTTATTACTATTACTGTGATAATTATTACGTTGAAAGAAGTTTCGTAAAAGTTACTTGCTATTTATTTGTAGTTACTTATTTATTGTTGTTGCTATCGTCGTCTTGTGTGTCTAAATCGAACTTAAACAGTGCGGCTACTAAGATTAACAAATCTTGCCGCGGATCGGATGTCTGTTGGAGTGTTCCACCTACCTGTAAATATGTAAATTGCACTTGCACTTGTGGCGGAGCAATATCGAAGATTACATGTCTCTGTCCCCAATGGTTTAATGGTTTGATGATATGACCAGTGATTGAATTTCTTTAATCGGTCAATTCTCAGCAAGCGTACAGATTGTGCTGATCCAAACATTTCCTCTTTTCTTGATCGTGTCTTCCTCTGTCACAACGGTTCTTTCAGTCTGGAGATTAAATCGTCTCATCTTTTCGTTGGGCCATCCAACTGCCTTCTGCTTTCTCCAGTACTGCTCGATGATGGCAGCTGTTCCACCCATTGCCATCAAACCGAGCCACGTGCCCTGACCGTTGAATTTTCCTCTCTCTGCACTCCACGATGATATCTTATATTTTCACTTTGGTTTGTTGTCTTATAGTCTGTCCAGCTGCATTGGAAACATAATGGTTTAGGGCAAGGATTATAATAAAGTTTATTATTTAGAAAGGTATGTTACGGTAACGAAAGAAAGTGCGTCATATTTAATGTTGACATTTTTGTGTCAAACCATGGATCGAGAAGACGGTACTGGAATATTAAGTGGACTCAATTTAAGGAAGTGTTTCAACAGTTTATTTAGATCTTGACCGGTTGAAAGTACGCATTTATGGCTGCACATGTAAGGAATCCACACTTTGAGAAAGTATAGTAGATGATGACTAAAGTAAAAATTTTTGCTGTACGCTTTATGAAAATAACCGTCTACGACTGACGGCTTATGAGTTGAAAAGTACAGAAAGAATTTAATTAATTCATTGTTAGGAGGCACAGAATGAACGGAACGAAGTTAAAAGCACCGTATACTACTTAAGTGTACTGTATAAGTATGCTTTCCGCCAGTCAACATTAATTAATTTGCACAATAGAGCTGAATATTCAGCGTATTCAAAATATTGTGCTATTTTGTGGTAAAGCAAGCCAAAGCTTTCGTATATCAATAAAATCAACAGCAATTAAAGGACGGATCGAGCGTCATTCGTAGCTACTACGTGGCTTCGTGTGATATAATTAATTTCATTTACCGAATTTCCTGGCACGTCAGAGCGATATTTGGATGAGATATGTGTGCCTATTTTGCTGGCATTTGAATCGTCTGTTCTACCTTCTGCAGTGCGCAAATATGACGGAGTCGCGGCTTATTTAAATGTTGGGTCTCTAAAATTGCAAAGCAGCGGTGATCCTATGCCGTTTAAATTCGGTCGAATGATTATATTTTTGATTATATCTGCGCCTATCATTGTTCTGCGTTATGTTCTTTTTTATATTACTTGTTGGTAAGTTGCAAAGTACTGTTTGAAATACTTAAAAGTACTTGAACCGATTGTTATCCACAAGTGTTTCGCGTCGTTGTATGCATGGAGATTTTAGCGTATCCGAGCTGCGTAGCTACTTACCTTCAAAGTTAAGCAGTACCTGGCTGCTGGGTTTCTGGAATTTCAGCATTTCCTAGCAATCTGTCACAGGCACCCCTCTATCTGCATATGGATTGGTTTAATGTGGTTAAATGCATATATTTGTGTCGCCGTCATATTAAGATAAACTGGTTGTGTCCAATAGAGCTGCTGAGTTTGAGGGTTCTGGCTAATTGAAATGATTGTAGTTTGCTCAGAAACTAGTTAAGTTGATTATTCTAACATGGACGTTGTCGACAATTTTTCTCATCGCTAGTGAGTCCATCCATTTTAAAAGTTTACAAGATTTCAAATAGCATATGCAGTCGAAATAAAACAACCAAGTTAACTTATGTTTTATTCAAGTCTAAATGGCTCATATCGGTTTGATACTGTATGTCTAAAAGACAGAAATGCAATGATACAACGTACGATTCCATATTACCTCACGGATGGAACATTTGTGAAGTGTTATGTCTGGAACGATAGAGGCCATCGGGTGGCGAGTTCCGCGTCCAGTAGCCACTAGGTTGAGATAGGAATGCGTGATTGACTGTGGGTGGCGCGTATACAGCAGCGCATGTGCCCAAGCCATGCGGTATTCTCTCGTGATCCATGACGTAGTAGCCGGTGGTCGGTGGCATTGCCGGTTGCTGACTAGTGCCCGGTAGACAGACCAGCTGTGCAGGCATGCATCGCTGGCGGTAGGTAGGAAAGAAGAGGTCTGAATGGTGAGGAAGATACGGATAGGGCGGCAGCTGCAACTCGGCGCTGGACTGGCAGATCTGCGCCAGGCCATGGAAGTCAAACTTGTACGCATAGCGTTTTCCGTGCACCTTTGTCATGATATTTTTGTCGTAGTAGTATCGTAACGCGCGACTCAACTTATCATAGTTCATGTTCGGCTTGCTCTTGCGTTCCCCCCATCGTCGCGCCACTTCATCCGGGTCAATCAGCTTGAACTCGCCGTTGGTGCCCTCCCAGGCGATGAACGCCGAGTTGGCGCTATCCGATAGCAGCTCGAGCAGAAATTGCCACAACTGTATTTGCCCATTACCTGAAACGACAAATTTTTTAGTCGAGGTGATACTCAAGTCCATCTGAAGTCATCTAAGCGCAGAGATTTTGCAGTCTGTCATTTTACCCTGACAGTGTGTTTGATCACTTGCAGCATTTAGACTCCTGCTTCTTAGTCTCTGCATCTCGATAATGTTGCAAAATTATTGTACAATTATACAAATTATTATACAATATGTACCTTATGAGATATATTCAAATTTTCGTCAGTGTTATTATTTCATCTTTCAGTTGTGCTGTTTTGCTCATTAATAGATGAGGGGAGAGAACAAATCCGATGATAAACATTTTACAACAACACATGTAACATCGTCAGAACATAACAGATTGTGCTGCCAGTAGTGTAGCGAAACACGTTGGCAATAAAGCAACGTTTCTTATCGACTTGTTTCAATGCCTAAAGTCTTGAATCAACAATGAAGTTACAGTTCTAAGTTCTCAAAATCACAAATGTTAAATCGCATCAATGCAATTTTGTTATCAAAGCTCTATAGTGCGGTGCTACTTCACTCTGTGCTCTACAATGTAACAATTCTGCTTTGATGTCTCTCCCTGAGGATAGATGAAGTTGGAGCTGAAACGTCAGGAGATATGCACGAAGTAAACTCATTATCTAATTTCATCCTGTAAAAGATTTTTCTGACTTTTTACCTTACTTCACGTTCATCTTTGGGTTTTAATGACAAATATTTCTAGAATTATTTATCACATGTTTCAGAAGTATAAATCTGGCAAACAGAAGTCGCAGTCGTCGTGTAATCATCTGCATTCGAAATCGATGGTCTCTCATATCTGATATCTGGCTCACAGCAGTGGACACTGTCATATCGACCCAATAAGAAACTTGAGGCGTTTCATTCGTGCAATTAAGTCCTATGTCGTGAATCAGGCAATTTGAGCTGATGCAAAACTTTCCATGTTTGAATCGCTGGCTAGAGACAGGTTTATAACTTTTTTGATCAAAATAACGTCGATGAAGGACTACCATCAAACTGCACAAGATCAATACACAGGCTTTTCTCACAGACTTTACTTAAGAGTATAATCATGATAGCATAGAATTAACTCAAAAAGCAATGATGCAGTTTTAGGTTAGCATAAGTTTGTGATTTTTTGTTGAACTGAGTTTTGAGTTTAGCGGCTTACTGGAAGCTAACCATCACTGCTACCTGGGATCAGAAGGAAAAGATTTCGATCTAAGTCGTTTGATTAATAATTTGTACTTTAAGAGTGTTGGGAAACTCACACAGGCTCATGCTCTCTATGCATGGAAATCCAATGCTACCTCAATGTTGGCAGTCGATACGTATGAGTTAATGCGTTTAATAATTCTGCAAGAACTGCAGAAAAAGAATTTATATATTTTCATTTTGAAGCATTGAAGATACATAATCCAAAGTCGAAGGCATCGCTAGATTTGCCTTGCTCGCTGTTAATTCCTAAGATATAGCTGACTTCACGCGGATGCGCCTTTAGATGACACGAACCGAGAGATGAATGGCAAGCTATGACTTTTCATAATTAAGACATAATGTGTGTCTGCATGTTCAACCATAAACCCAGTTTTCTTAAGGATTCGGATACATCTGCTACCTTTTCCTTTCACTCAAATCATGAACCCGTGAAACCTGACGAAGCGAAGCATGACCAAAATTTTGCGATACAATGCTGCAAAATATTGTAATATGCAAGCTCTCTGTGTCCGAGACGTCAGTGAACGACAATGGATGTTGAAATTGCAATGGACCGAAGATGTCGTAAAAGAAATTATTACATTTGGTTTAAAGAGACAGGAAATGGCTTGTAGAATGACCTCCAGATCGGGCGTCTGATAAGCCAAAGAAACTGTTGCATCATGATGGATGGGAATAAGAAAACAGAAGTTTGTGGCGAAATTTAGGAGAGGTCTTCAGCGAGCAATTGATTGAGAAAGACAATTGACAATTCAACGACGAAACAAATTTTTCTATCATATGCCATCCGTTCACAGGGAGTCAAATGAGGCAAAACAAATTAGCCTTACTGCAAATGGATGGAATATGTTCTGAGATGATAGTCGTTGCCGGAAAATTTCTTTCCGTGACCGATAGCACCTATTAGCAGTCGTTATAAAAAAATATTAATTTTCGTTCCGTTTTCGTACTAATGACGGTCGAGTTGATGGAAAGAAAGTGTTCACTGAGGGAAATAATTTCGAAAAAATACAGGTTGAAGTGTGAAGAACAACGCTGTCAACACCTCCACGCCTTGGGATTGGAAATGGAGACAATTAGGCATTTTATGACATTTCCTGGAATTCGTCACAACACGATAAGAGTTATAACGCCTTGACATAAATCACGGTAATTAGACTCTCTGTACGAGTTCTAGTCAGGCTTGCTAACTCCGGAACCGGATACGAGTTTGACAGGTGCATAGTTTTTCACTGGTAAGCATTCAGCCAACCTCTTGAAATTATTCACTAATAAACCTGACTGTCATTTATGCATTGTCTGGTATACTGTACCATTCTGATGTCATATCTCGAAAAGTTTCCTATCTAAAACCAGTGCAGTTTTATGCATTGTTTGCGCTCTGCTGTGTAACTGAAGCTTATATTCGGTTTGCAATGATTGTGCACAATTAGCATGTTAGCTGCATTTTAAGAATAACAGGAAAGCATGTGAATAGGGCAAATTGGAACCTAATGAAGATGAGGTCTGTAGCCTGTATGCCGAAGCAGAGAGCAAGCATATTTGTTGAATAGTGGGACAATAAGGGTGCAGGGGTAGGAGGTTGGCTTTGAACTTCAGAAATGCATGATTCGAATCCAAAAACTTCTTATCTGCTATGCTTCCCTCGAATTATGAATTCACTGTGCTTTCTTTGACGCAACACGCTGAGAAACGGTTAACAACCCCTTGACGACCTGTGAACGATAAATACAGCCTAATGTTCTTCTGTGATAATATCAAAATAAAAGGAGAGGCACGACCGTCGTGTCTGAACTTGAATGCTTTTTATGGTTGCAGTTCAACTTCACCGACCATTTATTCGGTAGCTGATTGTACACTGTAACAATCAGTCCATGGTGTAAATCTTTTTTATTATCTTATTCAGTAGAGAAGCTGTAGCAAAAATGATTGGACACTTTGCAGATGCAGAGAGGTCAATAAGATCACAATAAGCAAAAAGTCATTTAGAAGAATGTTAAATGTGTTGTGACAAGGCGAAAGCTTTAAATTTCGAATGTATGTGGATGTGAAACGGAGAATGTGCAGCTCAGTAGTATTTGACAAGAATCCTCATAGGAAGGATTTGAGTTCAGCTGGCGATAATTATCTATGCAAGTTTAAAAACATCTTTTAATGCTATCGAGAGATGTGTATGTCCATGCCATAGAATTTAAATACTCTTCTCATTTGCAGTTGTTTTTTCTTTAGTTTCTCTTTCTCTGAAACGGCAATATGAAAGACTTTATGGTGTGAAGAAAAGAAACGGCTCACACATCAGTCCATAACTATATTTTAGGGCTAATTTGAGCATTTAGATATGTATAAATATCATACTGGTATTACCTTAATCAGGCAACAATCTTTGATAACGCCGTTTAAATGAAATTTGTGATGTCCAAGAACAATTCCTGCTATGTTTTAGGTGCTGAATTTAAATTATCCTTTATTTTTTGCCTACCTTCATGAAGCAGCTAAAAGACTGCAATAAATTAAGCAGTATTAGTTAGGTATTAATTAGAGGAAGCTCCCTCAAAGTCCAACTTGTCAGCTGAGTCATGAAAGGCGGGCAAATGACCGAAGTATTCAGTAGCATAATATTGTGAAATGCGGTGCAATAAATCCTCTTTTCGGTACCTAATCGATGTTGTCATCTGTCAGAATCTCAGATGCGAGAATGAACGGATTCTGCCTGCTGTAAATGCCTTTCCAGGACATGAAACTAAACACTGCATCAATGGACTACGGTTGAAATTTTAGAATGCGAATTTATAATTTTAGAATTAAAATTTTAGGTCTAAGTATGGTCGAAAATTTGATCCTTGGCGCCTTTGGTCGATAAAGGAGGAGACTTACATCCTGGTTGATCTCTGAGATACACCTCCCGTAGAGTTGACCTTGAAGTTCCATTCGCAAAAGACATTTCTGACAGCTGAAAACTGGTATGACACCAACCACAGTGTCAGATCCTACATGCCCATGGCATAAGTCAAGCCACTGTGCGGTGTTTTCATCCTCTGCAAAGAAGTTTTCGATTCATTTGAGTTGATGGCTATACTAAATGCCTTGAATGACCATTACATGAATCCTGTTTTCGTAATCCTAATCGAGCAGTTGAACAGCGGTTGCACGACTTGCATCAAACTGTTCGAGCGAACCATATGTGATGAATATCCATCGAAGAATGCACAAAAGAGACACCATCACCCAAGGGTTCTTACAATTGCTCCTCAATGAGCCATATTGGTGAAAATTATAAATATTGACGGATGGATGCTAACGCACTTTATACTTGCGGTCGACTCCACTGTCTTCGCGCTGGACTCTCGTGTACCTCAGCCGTCAGGTGGACCGTATGAACTCGTTACACGGAAAAATCAACTGAAGAACGAAGGCGGCATGGGTCAGTTGTAACAGAATTGAAACCTCGTTATTCGACAGTGTTACTACCTCTGTTCGATTCGATTCAATCGTTTTATCCGCCATGATCTACGGCTTAAATGTCAATCAGCTACTGAAGCCAGGGGCAGCAACTCGATGGTGAGTCACGCTCGAAGAGGATAGACTCAACAACGCACTGAATTAATGAGGACGATTTCTGTTTTCTACGACGTTGAGAGATATGGTGCTCCGTCTTATGGCTCTCCTGAATAAGAACGGGTGAAAGTGAAGAATTAAAGACTGGATTCCGCTGGACTACGAAACATCCACCGGTCGTTGAAGAATGTGCTAGGACAACCTGATGATCAAATTGCTTTGTTTGCGGTAGAGGCAAAAAGCGGAGAATACTGAGGGAAA